TATAGTTGCTTAGACTCAAAACAAAAGGCAGTAAAATTATATATGAATACATTTTATGGTGAGGCGGGTAATAATCTCTCTCCATTCTATCAACTTCAGCTAGCAGGTGGAGTTACTTCTGCTGGACAGCGTAATATTAAATTTGTTAGAAAATTTGTTGAAGATAAAGGGTTCGGCGTCAAATATGGGGATACTGATTCTTTATACCTCACATGTCCGGAAGAGTGTTTCCAGGAGTGTGATCAAAAATATAAATTAGATCAATTATCACAAGAAAAGTACTGGGAGGAAATGGTAAAAATCTCTATGAAAGTGATGGCAAACCTCCGTAATGAAGTAAATATGGAGCTTGAAAAGGACAATGGGACACCTTACCTTAATATGGCATACGAGGTCTTATTTCCCGTAATATTTACAGGAAAGAAAAAATACTATGGTCTTGAACATAAAAAGGAGCCAAATTTCAATCCAGGTAAACTTTTCATTAGAGGGATAGATACCGTGAAAAGAGGTCAATCTAAGCTCTTCCGTGATGTAGGTAAGGAAATTATGAATAGAACTTTGAAAGTCAGCAATGAGGAGACAATACACCAGATTGTTGAAAAAGTTCTTTGGGAAAATGTGGAAAAACTTTCCAAGTTAGATTATGATGAATTTATTCAGACATGTATATGGAGGCCTAAAAAGGAAGGTAAGCGGGGAAATATTTCTGTAGAACGGTTTGTTTCGCGAATGGAGGCTAAGTATTCTCGTGAAGTATTGGAAAATCAACAGCTTATAAAGAAGGGTTTACCCGCTAACGAATATCTATATAAAGTTCCCAAACCCGGTGAACGATTTAGTTACATTGTAGTAGTACCTGAAGAGATTTATGATAACTGCGGAAAAAAAATACCACAACAAAAAGGAGACTGTATGGAATATCCAGATGTAGTAAAAAAGTTCAACAAGAAAATAAATATTGATTATTATATTGAAAGTCTATTTGGTCTCTGTGCTCGTTTTATAAATTACGATAATAAATATCAACCATCGCCTGAATCTCTCTCAAAAGTCTTGGATCGCAAAAAGAAATCCAAGGAGAAGAAATTAAAAATCGCTAAGGATTTATTGCAGAACAATAACTCTCTGAGTTTAGATGAAGATGAAATAGCAAAAATTAAAGATGAAGAATCACAGAAGTCGGCTAAAAAATGGCTTAAAAATTATATTAAGAACTTATGTTATGCTCCGAAAAAAGATGAAGCTATTATCTCCTATTTATGGAAAGATGCTATTGTATACGCTGAAAAAATATGCTCCACTATGGATATTAGCAGTTCTATTAAAAATCCTTCACAGAAAAATAGAGACAGAGTTTCATTACTTCGTAATAATCCTTATTTCAATGCGTTAGATAAACATAAGGAATCTATTCACTCAAAATTATCAACATTACTCATAGAAATTTCGAATACATTTACAGAATATAGAGAAGGTTTGTATAAATTAGTTAATAGCTCTCATAAGTATAGTGGAGCTAGTGCCAAGACACATATTTCTAAAAGTACAATTTTGGAAGAGTATATATTAACTGATATTTTAGAATCCGAGTGTGAGATACTAACAGAATTTCGAAATACATGGTACAAAGCAATTGGTCTTGAGATTGCACGTTTTCAAGCAGTATCAATCATGCAGAGTGGTAAAAAAGATGACTCATCCGAAGCAGATATTGATGGGATTATCGACCTATACTGTTAAGTATTCTTGGTTAGAATTGCGACACCCTAATAAGATACTTATACAATATTAATTATATTTTTTCGTACATAAATAATATCGAAGTTTAAATAGATAGTTCCTAATACTTAGTTCACGCATCCTGCAATCGTTCACTTTTTCTTCCTAATCCCCATTCACGTCTAAATACCACGAACCACATAACAGCAATAATCAACAAGATAAGAAAGATATATGC